TTCGTGCAGACGGGTACCTTTCATGGGGCTGTGCAGTTTATGGTGGCTCTCTGTGGGAGCTACCCACCTGGCTACAGCTTTCTAGAGCCAGGAAAGCTCTGACCCAGAGAGGTTCGGCCATAATATCCTCAAGGGGGTTTAAATTTTAGACAGGCCCTGTTGGTTAGGGCCTGTTCTCATCCTTAGGCCTTTCAGGTGTTCCTGTGTCCTAACCATGCCTTTTGCTTATGGTTACAAGAACTGCTTGTAACACGATACAGAAGTAATCATTTAGTTAAATATGTAATCATCTCCTGTCCTCTGGCTATTCACTCTTCAGTTGGAAATACAGGCTTTAAACCTGTCACTCTCACTCCCTGCTCCTACACCAGATACTTTTCTAGAATATGTTTTGATGTTTAACAAATACCTCTGGGACCAGGCAACAGTCCTGTGGATCAAACATAGTAGTAGTATTTCAGCTGTCATTTGAGGAAGGCATAGTTATTAGAGGAAAACAAACCTGAATAGAGATGAGATTTTGCTGTAGTTCTATACTTATGTTGCATTTCATCCTTGGCCCTTCTCTTCTGTAAAATATGGATTAGTTTAGATCCCTTTAAACCACTGACCATGATTCCTTACGAAGAGTAACACTGGAACTTTATACCCCTTAGCTTAGATGTTGCAGGAATTCTGCAAAGATTACATTGATTGCTTTGGTGGCTACTTAGTTCCTGAATTCTTACTAATTATCTAGCTAGCTTTACTTGAATTAGAAGGCTTATGTAAATGAGCTTTTGAACTTTTAGAGAACTTCATACTTTAAGATGGTTCATTTTACCTATAACAATTTAAAGTAGCTTTGTTTCATAGTTCCTTGACCTGACACTTAAGAGTACTGTGACCAGCTAAATCCTGTAACCTGCTTAAGCCTGTATTGATCCTTGGGTAATGACCTCCATTCAATCTCATAGGGTTTTTTGGAATTGTCTAGTGAGGTAACATATATGAAACTGTTCAAAACAATTTCTATAAATGTTCCACTTCATAGTTACCCAGTCTGTAACTTAACAAACTGTAAGGCTTGGGACTACAGATTGTGCTGTGGGTTCCTTATTTTAATACTTTGACTAGCTAGTCTTTGAAAATATTGTAGCCTCTGGCTTAGTGGCTTCTTGGCCCATATCTGAACAGATTTTCTGTCTATGGTACTTGGGAAATCTGTGTTCTGAGCCAGGTGTAATGGCCCACACCTGTAATTCTAGCATTCAGGGCGATGAGGTAGGTAGATTCATTTAAGTTCAAGGCCAGTTTGTGATACCTAGTCATTTTAAGGCTAGTCTGGGATACATAGCAAAACCTTGTCTCAAAAACCAAATAAAGCAAAACCAAAAACAACCAACCAACCAACAACAAAAACAGAAAGAAACTACATTTGCCCTGTGCCTTGGCCCCAGTGGCTTTATTCTTCCATAGTTCTCCTAGTTGTCAGCAACTTTAAAAGAACAGATAGATAATCTTTTGGGCAGCATATGGTTTAAAAGCAGTTGGTTTTCAACCATTATTATGTGTGTGATAATGTAATGGATACACTCATGTCATGGTGAGCAATCATGTAGTGGTCAGAGAATAACTTTGTGGTGATGGCTGAGCTTTGGTTGTCAGGCTACCAAAACCTTTGCCACTTGTTGTTTCACACATGAGCTACATGGGTACAGTCAATAATTTTAGAGGTGGGGTCGTAGCTTGAGCCTTCTGCCTTTCATTTGAGTCAAGACTTTCTTAGTGCTTTCTTCAGGGGCTCTGGTTTTATAATTTGGCTGGAATATGAAATTCAAGCTGCTTTTGTGTCTGAAACAGTTTTCTCCCAGTGAGCTCATGTGACTTGTTAATGGTGTAGTTCTTCCCTCCTATATGCTATAAACCGAGGGCTTCATCCCTGTTCCTTTCACTGAGAGATGTAGCACCTTCACCACAAGCAAGTCTAATGTATTAAAGCCTGGAGATTTAAATGAAAGACAAGACGTCCGGTTGTTTGTGCTAAGAGAATGTGTATGTGTCTTTATTGCCGGGAGGGCTCAGCCTTATATACAGACTTACAGCACAGTAGAAAAACCCCAGGTGTAAGAGATTGTGTTTTCACAACTAGATGTTGATGTCAGTGGGGCAAGGCCGGGTCCCTGAGCCAGGACTAGAAAACAGGATGCACCTGTGGTTATTGGCTGACAAGCAACTCACAGTGACCCCTTGGGGGCTGGGACCCAACAGATAGACATGCAGATCTTTTATGCAAGGTGTAGGTCCCATACATTTTAAAAATGTAACATATAAAATAGCATTATTTTCACTATTTTTAATTTTTTTATATTACGCACATCGGTTTTGCTTGCATGTATGTCTGTATGAGGGTGTTAGAACACGTGGAACTAGAGTTGCAGAGTCTTGAGCTGCCATGTGGGTGCTGGGAATTGAACCTGGGTCCTCTGGAAGTAGCCAATGAGCATAACTACTGAGCCATCTCTCCCGCTC